GGATCATTAGGAGAAAACAAACAATTGAAGGGAAGGGAGTCAAAGGCATTTCCCTTAAATAATAATCTTGAGTCAGAGCCAGAAATTTTAGAAATTTATGCATTTCCTGCAGACCACACCTTTGCATTCCACTGGATGTTGGACATATCTCACCACATGAGTGTGAGTGAATTCCCCTTTTTATTCTATCTTTCATACAATAGATGGCTAATATACATATATTGAATGAATGAATAGATATGTTGAGGAAGTCACTTAATTGAGTATTTACTACCTGATGTATCATCTGTGCACGGTGGCCAGATGAGAACAGGCCCCATGATTTTTCTCTTTGATAAAATTACCATAAAAATGAAAAGTATTCTGAAAAATTCCTGACAGAGAAGGAAACCCATTTTGGCAAAATTTTGCATGTCTCAAACTTCAGGTCTTATTTTATCTTAAAAAATTCTAACCCAGTTTTAGTAAATTGAATGATTAAAAACTCAGCCCTCCTTGAAAGGTCTCATAATTTTGATATCTCCCCTGATCATATAGTGATTATCCTCCCAGTAACAGAGCTTCAACATGGTACCTTTCTGTTTCATAGTCCCCCTCCACAGTGACTCCAAATTGTTCCCCACCCTCTTGAAATCACCTTGCTGTTTTTGCTTGTAATCACATCATCTCAACGATCAGGGTCTTGTGTTGTGTAGTGCCCTCTTCTGTTTATTGTAAGCTTTGCTTGAAGTGTGTTTATCCAGATGGATGCTAAATGATGGTCGAAGGGTGGTGATGGTCCATGTTACTAGCTCAATGCAGGAGCTCCCTCCTGGTGCTCAGTGTGCTCCCATAGGGGGAGTGTCACTCAGCCAGAAGCTCTGAGCCGGGCTTACGGCTGGCGAGCACAGTGGTGGTAGCGGGAGCCTCTCCTGCCTCTTTGGCAGCGCTAAGGAGCAGTGACTTGAGCAGTATGGAGCAGTGAGAAGGTGGACAGTAAGGAGCAAGGGGTCCCAGACTGCCAGAGAGTGCAGGCTGGGCTGAGGGACCCCCATCCCCACTGCACATATTTTGTGCACTGGGCCTCTAGTATATATACATATAAATATATATATATTTCCTATCTAATAATAGACAAATAGGGTAATTGACTGTACCTTCGATACGCTTCCCATTGGCTAATCAGGGCAATATGCAAATTAACCAACCAAGATGGTGGCCGGCAGCCAAGACGCTGAAACAAACAGGGGGCTTGCTTGCTCCAGTGATGGAGGAAGCCAATGTTCCCCGCTTGCCGCTGCCCAGCTCAGCAGGTCGTTATCTCCCAAGGGGTCCTAGACTGTGAGAGGGCACAAGTGGGGCTGAGGGACACCTCCCCATTTTCCTCCCCAGCCAGTGCACAAATTTTTGTGCACCGGGCCTCTAGTATATATATATTATGTATATTTGTGTTTATATACATCTTCTTATTTTTTATTTTCTACTTATCCTAGGTGTTTGGTATTTTCTTTTAAGCTTTATTTTGGATTGATTTTTGTTTTGTTTTCATTTTTTAAAGTTTTTTTAAAAAAATCTATTTTTTATTGATTTCAAAGAGAAAGGGAGTGGGAAAGATAGAAACATCAATGATAAGAAAGGGAGTGGGAAAGATAGAAATATCAATGATGAGAGAAAAATCATTGGTCAGTTGCCTTCTGAATGCCCCCTCCTGGGGACCGAGCCCACATCCTGGGCCTGTGCCCTGATGGGGAATTGAACTGTGACCTCCTGGTTCATAGTTTGACTCAAGGAGCCGAACCAGTTTGGCTCAGCGGATGGAGCGTCAGTCTGTGGACTCAAGGGTCCCGGGTTCGATTCCTGTCAGGGGCATGTACCTTGGTTGCGGGCACATCCCCAGTAGGAGGTGTGCAAGAGGCAGCTGGTCGATGTTTCTCTCTCATCAATGTTTCTAACTCTCTATCCCTCTCCCTTCCTCTCTGTAAAAAATCAATAAAATATATTTTTAGAAATTACAATGCATTAGCTTAACTGTCAAAATCTACGATTAATAACTTTACCATCCTCCTACTCTAGCTGGATAGCTTCTGTTTACCTGTCCATAGCCTATTTCCTCCCTTCCTCTCTCTGCTCTGTGCCTCAGGAGATTGATCTGTATAGATTGATCAGCTGGCCCCCTTCCCTCTGGTTGGGTATTTATTTCCCCAACTCCCTCTGCTAGGTCACAATGCATGGGCTGGGACTCTACCCAAGTCTGGGGTACCTGTCAGTTGGCCTATTCCTTAGAGCTACCCCATTTGGTTCCTGCATCTGTTCTCACCTGTTTTCCTTTGGGCCTAGAGGTGGTGCTGGCTCCCCACTATTGGTTTCCTTAAACCCTGTCCACAGCTTTGTAAATGATACTTTTATGAAACCCTTCTCAAATTACTCAGTTTAAAAGTTTTTTTCTTCCTAGGATTTTGACTGAGACATAGACAATATATGAACCTAAAGTAGTCTAACTCTGTTTACTCCCTTCCAACTTATATATCATCTTATTTATTATTTTTTTAATTTTGAATTCTTTCATTGATGTTACAATGAATCAAAACCAAAGTCCTACTCACACCTAGTATATTTTAAGATTAAATTGAGAAATGTAATATATATATATACAAAAAGTAATAAAATATAAATACAGAGTGTAAGTATTTTAAAACCAATGCCTATATAGCTATGACCCAGGTCAAGAAACAAGTGGGAAAAATGAGACAATGAAGAAAAAAAGTCAATATTATTGTGAAGGTCATCACTGTGAGTAACAGGGTCTCATTTTTTTTTTTTTATTGATCTCAGAGACGAAGGGAAAGGGAAAGATAGAAATATCAATGATGAGAGAAAAATCATTGATCAGCTGCCTCCTACATGCTCCACACCAGGG